GGTAGGCTGTGTACTAACAGCTTAGGAGAACAGACGGATTCCAGGAGTGATTAAGACATGAGTCTTGGGCCTCTCTGGTGGCATAAGGTTTAAGTCTCAGCACTATCATGTTATCACTGCTGAGGCTTGAGTTCAATCCCAAGCTTGAGAGGTGGCCCACAGGGCACAGCAAACCTCTCCTGTCTTGCCTGCTGCTCCCCCTCAGCAGTGTGTTTCAGTCGATCCACCTGTTCTGCTCCCCACTCTGTCTGACGAATCCTCTCACAGCTCCCTGTCTCCCAGCTGCACTTCTGGCCTACACCCCAGCTCTTGTAGGCATAAATAAATGGAAAAAAGACAAGTCTTATAGAACTTCTGCTAAATTTTGTAAATAAGAGGCACTTGTTCACTGTAGCAGGCATCTGACAATGGTGCCTTCCAGGCCTGCCTAGCTAGCGCCTGCCCGAATACTGTGTCCTGCCCTTGAGCTCCCTTTCCAATGGCCTTAGAGATGTCCCAGTCATGTGGTTCAGGGAACCTACTTTTAGATTGGATTAAAAGACTTAGACTCTTGTAAATAAGATAGCAACACCCTCTCTGGGTCTGATTTAAATGCCTTGTTTCATCCAACACCCATGCCCATATTACTACCATGTGTCAACAAATTTTCAAAACTGGAAGTGCTACCTAGGGGCAACTATGAAAAATCACATCTAGGGACACAGTTATGTGTCCAGTTTGTTACTGGCCAAACTCTCCTCCAGACTCCCAATATCAAAGACATGAACTAACAATTTGAAATCTACTGTCCCTACTGTGTTATAATAAAGAAGAGACTTATGCTGTGCTGTATGAAGTGGCTCTTATTCTCTACCTATGATGGTTATAAAATTGTTTCAAGCAATGCTGTGAAAACAAGTAACAAAATAATTCAATAATAAATAGAAATTAGTCATTCATTCAAGTCAAAATTCCTTAAAGGAAAATGGTATGCTCTGTAATAAATTTAGTCTTGTCATGAAAAAACAAATGGATCCCTTCTAGGACATTCTTCTGTTTAAACTTTCTGAACTTAGTATGTTATCTTACATAGAGTGGACATTCAACAAATTCTTCAGGCAAGCAGGAAAGAAGGAAGGAAAGAGTAAAGGAAGGGGTCCTCCCTGATGGTGCAACAGGTTAAAGTGCAACACTATGAAGCACCACAGCCACTTTGCTTCAGCACTAGTTGGATCCCCGGCCCCGGTCAGGGTGTGACCCACGTGGTGAGCAGACCTCTCCTGTCCCCCTGCTGCTCCCCTCAGCAGTGTACTTTCAATATACCTGTTCTGCTCCCCATTCTGTCTCTGGTGAATCTTATCACCACCCTGAATGTCTGGCCTGTACCCCAGTTCTGTATGCATAAATAAATAATTTTTTTTAAAAAGAGCAAAGAAAGGATAACAGGGAAGAACACATTCATGCACATTTATGTTATTGAGGTAACTAGACATGTTCTATTTTTTTTTTAAGATTTATTTATTTGTGCATACAGAACTGGGGTACAGGCCAGAGGCTCAGGGGCGGCGAGAGGCTTCACCAGAGACAGAGTGGGGAGCAGAACTGGCAGATCGACGATGTACACCTCTGAGGGGAGCAGTGGGCGGGTCAGGAGAGGTCTGCCACGCCATGTGGTCACCTCCGGGGCAGGCGGGAATCGAACTCCTGCGGAAGTGGCTTTAGCTTCTCAGTGCAGTGCTTTAACACGCTGCGCCACCAGGGAGAGCCAACATGTTCTATTTTTATGAAGGAAAACAAGATAAAATGGAAAATAAAACATTGTATTAAGGGGCCCTATGAATTTGAAGTAAGAACTAGGGATCTGGACTTGGGAGAATCCTGTACTTTAGCTCTTAACCTATTGTTCTCTCCTGTTCCTTACTCCTTATCCAAGAATGATAAATGTGTATATTTCTCCTAGTGATATTTGTATCTGAAATTTGATCCCATATCACGTAAATGCAAGAAATCATAACATTCTCTTACATAGTGATATACTGATTTGGTTAGTCCTGGTGGAAAACACTTTTTGGTGGAAACTACAGCAAAAAAAAGTTATCTGCATTTACATCTCTCCTGTGAAACAAGTCCGGATATCACTATCCCAGCCAATCTTTTCTGTAGTGACTTGGTTTGCAGATGCTTCAGCCTTTCCAATTTCATTATAATTTTTGCTAAGGGCCTGAAGTCTGGCCTGACAGCTCTACTTCCACTTCCTTTACAATATTTTCTTTCCAGTACATATCTCTTAGCAATGCTTCCTTATGGCACATTACAGGATCATTAAATTAAAAAATGAGAGGTGTAGCTGATGATTGACTGCTTTCTAATTACACAGAGTGTTTGTCAAAGGCAGTAGGCAAGAGACCTAAGCTCTATTTTGCTGCTATATTGACCGTTAAGTTCACAGCACATCTCTGCTAGCAAAGATTCTTCCCCAACAAGGATATTTAGTAGAGCAGTAGTCAGCCAGTAGAATAAACCGCTTTACCCTCAGAATACATGGACAGGGAAGACAGTGAGCTAGTGATCAAAATGGTCCACCTACTGCCTTCAAAATAAGAAGCTTATCCAAAAAAAAAAAAAAAAAAGGCAGCAGCAGCATATCCAAGATCAGTATTTCTCAATCTTTTTCCCATCACTGAGACTTTTTGAACATCCTTTCCTGATAGTTCACCCATGAGATTTTAATATATTAGATATGTTCTTTATCTGTTCATATACTGTGAACCTTTGGGGGTCTCTAAGCCATCACAATATCTAAATAGCTCTCAACCACGTTACTGAGAATATCTCTTGGATTATGCTTGTCAATCTGATCAAATTCAGACTGATGTTTCACCATTTAAAGACTTCCATTTGCAAAGCTGTATAGTGGAATATGCAGCTCAAGAGGATGTAAGGTTAAAAATTATATACTAATTTATACATCATTGACCAAGAAATAAATCCCATTCCTCTCCTAAAAATAATAAAACCCTAATAATATTAAACATCATATGGTTCTCAAGCCAAAATGGTGTCAAAGTTTGAAATCTTGCACCCACACATTCCACTCTCCACATGCAGAGACAAATTTTGCTCCAAAGGTATAAGACTGTAAGCTTGTGACAACTATCACCTTGTTTGTTTGTTTATTAGCACACGTTCAGCTCAAAGAGAACAGTGGCGCTGTGTTTGATTTTGCAGAGAAGGCTGTCTATGAGGACTCCCGGGGGCCTACTGCACTCTTGCATCTGTGGTATCCTTTCTCCATAAAACACATTTAAATATAACTGTATTATGAGATGAGTAGAATTATTTGGGCATCTTAGGGGCACATAGTTGGGAGATCCAGCAAAGACCTCTCAGAGGCCAAGACTTTGAGACACCCTAAAGAAAAGCTGGGAGGGTGGCTGAGAGATAGAGAGGTGTGTTCAGGCAGAGCAGAGAGCTAGATCAAGGCCTAGTAGTGAAAGATCTACTATGATTAGATGAGAAAGAGTGAGATATGAAGTTGAAGAGGAAGGTAAGGGTCAAGCCACAACAGGCCTAATGTTACGGGTCTGACTTTATCCTAAAGCCAGGAAGAAGTCATTTAAAAACTTCTGTTAGGAATCACCAACAGGAACAGGTTTGCATTTTGGATAGTCTTTCAGACTACATTATCATAAGGGACTGGAGAGGGTAAAGTAGATACACTGGAGATCCATCGGTCTCTTTAGGGGACAGAGACCCAATCGAAGCTTTTGGAAATAATGATTTTGTTGGCTCCCAGTTGAGTCCTTCCATGGGAATTGGCTCTAGCCATAGAGAAGTGCCTTTCACAAGGGCATGCCCCCTCTCAAAGAGCACGCATGGCCATGGCTGGCAAATGTGGAGATAGTATATCCTCGCTGCCTTATCTCAATTGTGGTGAGCCCACAACTGAGGGTTTGACTGAGGTCTCTGATATAAACAGGTTTGCTGGTTACTTCTCCCATTGCCTAATCCTGCTCTATTCATTTACATCACCATAAACATAATGATTTGAAAATACACATTTGTCATGTCACAATGTCCATGGGCCAGGAATCAGGGCCCAGTTTAATAGAGTCCTCCACGCAGGTCACCATCATAGTGTTGGGCCAATGCTTTCTCATCGAAGGCTTGACTGGGGAAAAATATACTTCCAAGTGCACTCCAGTTGTTGACAGAATTAATTTCCTTGGGACTGTAGGACTGAGGACTCCTGCTTCTTTCTTGGTTGATTGGTTGGAGGTTGTTGTTGGTATGGAGAGGCTTCCAGAAATTCCTAGAGGCTGCTCAGTTTCTTTCATGTGGGCTTCTCCCAGTGTGGCCACTTGCTTAATCAAATGTTTGCTTAATCAAAACTTCAAGCAGAGGTTTCAGAATGAATCTGCTACCAAGACAGATCCAGGCATTATATAAAGTGACCAGAGGAGTGACATCTCGTCACCTTTGTTATATTCTGTTCATTAGAATCAAGTCAAAGGCCCTGCCCTCACAGGGGAGAGGATTAAATGAAAGGGTGAACATCGAGAGATGGGAATGACGGGCATCACTTACAGTCTGTATGCCACACTGCCTCACTCATGTCCTACCCATGTGTTCTTGAGAGCACTCCCAGGAACTCTGCATGCAACTGTCTATCTTCGAGTCTGTATTGAGGGAGCAACACTGGCAGAAGAAAAGTGAGTGAGAGACTGTTGTGTTACTGTAACCTGAACTATGGGTGATAGCAGTGGAGACTGAGCACTTCCTATTGATAAATATATAATAAGTACTATAATTAGAATGATCTATGACCTATCTAGTAGAATCAAGTCTAAAAACTACAAAGTGTCTCCAAGTAAGAATATGTACCAAGGATATACACAACAAAAACAACTCATTTCTAACACTATAGAGTATGTTCAACATTACCAATAGGCTTAAATTTCCCATGGTATGAAAATAAATCTCAGTCCACAGTCACACAATCAGAGATGATTAGCATTTTATTCATTTAATACAGATTGTACTTGTACAGGTTGCAGGAATAGTCAATGAACAGAACTGCCCTATTAGAGACCAATAGTCAGAAAATATGCAAGCAACTATTGGTATAACAGGATCAAATTCCACCTTGTGCATGAACACTCCCATTTCTATCCATTGCATTTACAATCATTATTTCTTATTCTTGCTTGCTTAATTATATACAGAGTGATATAAAAAAAATTCCAAAATGATCCACTTTCAATGATTTCTACACCATATCCTAGGTATTCTTTTCTGGAAAAAAGTATTTTTCCTTAGGTTTTCAAAGTGGGATGTGTGTGTGTGTGTGTGTGTGTGTGTAGTGGCCCTAACTTATTTCTAGAAATTAAATACAAAGGCATTTTTATTGAAATCAGTAGCTATAAACACCACATGACTACACTTAAACACTGTGTGTTCAGAGAAATCTTTTAGTGTGTTCTGTATAGTTAACAGCTATGATTCCACTGGTCTTCATGAGTAAAACAAATCTGATTTCCTTTCACTTTCATGCACATTCAAAATTTCTTACAAAAGAAAGATAGTGAAACATATATAATCTGCCCTTAGTGATTTGTGCTGCTCAGTGATTGCACAGAAACAAGTGTGAGGTTCTTGGGGAAATAAAACTGTAGCTCTTCAGAGAGGAGTGAGCCGCTCATCCTCTGTGGTGAAGGCATCATTCAGATGGCCCCCTTTTGAGTCCAGGGGATCACAAGGGATGCCATTTTCCACTGTGATCGTGTTTTCACACTTATCTTCAGTGTCATCAACTTCAGATGGCCCCTTGCTTTTCCTAAAAGCACATAAGAAGAATGATTGCAACCTAGGAGGAGAATGCATGTTCTTCTGCAAAAAGATGGAGAGGGGAAAAGAAAGGAACCTTAACCTGATGAAATAAGTGATGATATTGTATTTTTTCAAATACATTTCAAAGATCATAAAGAGATGGTGAGGTGAAAATATACCATCCAGATAAGAAGTCTGCATGGATGATTTATACAAGTTGATGAGAACAAGTGGTCTTATTTGGAATACTAAAATAAAAATAAATAGGTATATGAATGAATAGTTTGTATACACAAACATACACATAGATATTCACATACAAAAAGTGTATGAAGGAACATGAGGAAAATAGATGGTAAATTGTTGATTTTAAATTTTTAGTTTTTGGAGAACAGCTTAACAAAAATTGAATCTAAAAAAGTAGTAAAGTTCTCTCATGGGAGTCAACAAATTGATGGTTGCACATGCTGAGGGAAAATTAAATTGAAATGCAATACCACGAAGCAAATTCACATCACTTTACATAAAGGAAGTAACCATTAAAAGCTGCAGATACCATTACGTGGCTCTACTCATTACAAGAAAGTCGCATATATTTGTTAAGTCAGGTTTTTGGAACTCAGAGCACATTTTATTAATTACAACTCTGCTGTAATTCCAGGCATTCAAAAAATTGTATGACAAGATAACCACTTGAGTTTCTCATTCTCAGACCTTTTGTAGATCCTATCAACTCAAGAGGTAACCAGATATTTCATATTTCCTTAGAGAATAGAAAGCTGAGTTTAAAGGTTCTTCCAATATTTTGTGAAAGACCAAGGCAAGAAAGCAATTATGCCTGATATATTGGTGGGGGAGACAAGAGAGCTGGGTACTTTGAGGCAACCAGAGGGGGAAAGCATCCCTGCAGTTGATCACAAGTAGATGATGGGCACCAGTGAGGGATGATGTTAGGCAAGAGCTACAATGGAATCCCACCACTACAGGAGACCCTCAGGGGCCCTATCAGTCTGGAAGGCGAGGAGGTAGTGAAGAAGATGTCCCAGTGACACCTGAGGCAGAGTTTCCTATTGGTCCAACAGGGGGGTCAGTTTTCATATGCTTTGAAGAAGAGAAGAAAGAAGATAAAAAAGAAATTTTTGTTTACAGAAGATTGACAACTAATTTAGAAGGAGTAGCAGAAATTAAAAGTCATCTCTACAATAGTAATAGATTTTGACAAGGCTCACCAATGGACACTAAATCACTCAGTGAGCAAGATGGCCAGGAAACAAGATACTCACATGGTCTCAGTGTATCAACTGCACAGGCAATGTGCTAATTCAAAGAGACATTTGTATTTAGCCAAGGAGAAATACGATGAACATCACCAACACTGAGACAGACCAATGCACAGTATGTGTGTGTGGGGGGGGTGATACATACACATACACACACACACACACACACACACAATCCTGTGTTTCTGCTCCACCCTATCACCACATTTTTTACCTAAATCTCTTAGGAGGAACTATTCAGATAAACTTAAAAAATATTTTGGAAAACAGTTGGCCTCAACTAAACCCAGAGCAGTCACTCAACCAATGTGCTTAGTTTGAAGTCAGATGGACAGAGACATGAGTGGCTGGTTAGCTAGTTAGGCAGATAGAGGAACAGATGGACAGATGAATGTAGAAAAGCAGTTGATTGGATGGGTGGGTGGATGGATGGATGGATGGATGGATGGATGGATGGATGGATGGATGGATGGATGGATGGGCAGGCTAATACTAAAGGCAAAGTTACTTAGTAGCCCAAGTTAGATTTTGAGAGAAGGAAGAACATAGCATAATACATATGATGTTGCTTGTATTGTTATTATATTTACTTTTCAAATTGATGAAAGAAATATTCATTTTCCTATCATTAGATTTATAAATTAGCACAGATTGTGTCATAATTCACTGGTGGTTATTAGATCATTTCAAATAGCTGGAGCTTATGACATGGCAATGCCTGTAGCTCGCTCTATTTGTCATTGTGTCTACCACTGTCAAATGTCTGGATGTGTCATTACAGGCCCAATGCTGGATTGGAAGCCAGGGATTTGGCCCCAGGGGCCTAGGCAAGGATCAGCTACTGCGTTTTTCCACGCTCAGGGTGGACAAATGCACCAGCAGCTCCAAGCATCTGTAATCAGTGTAGGCTGGGGTAGACTTGGAGAAGGTTCTCCAGACAGGTGAAATTGCCCACCAGAGGACTAGGACACTTTGTCCTCTATTCTTGGGACTAGATGGCCATCACTTTCCATTCTTCCAGAAAGTAAAAGCAATTGACATTATAACCACCAAACACAGTATCTAACATTCATTTGTTGTCCTAAAGCATCAAGAACTCAGTCAAAAACTTCTAATTTCACTCATTCCCTTTTCTCCCAATTTTTATGGATCTCAAAAGACAGGAATACTATTTCATAGGGATGAAGCTCTACTAGCAACAGTATATTTGTAAATTACCATAAAAAGATGTCTAGCTTGAAGATGTCCAACAAGCATATGAAAAAATGTTCAACATCACTTGTAATAAGGGAGATGCAAATTAAAACCACAATGAGATACCACCTCACACCATGAGAATGGCACATCTTAAAACAACTAGCAACAACAAATGTTGACAAGGATGTGGAGAAAAGGGAACTTTCCTGCACTGCTGGTGGGAATGCAAACTAGTACCAACCACTATGGAAAACTGTTTGGAGGCTTCTCAAACGGCTAAAAATGGAGTCTTCCATAGGACCCAGCAACCCCACTCATAGGTATCTACCCAAAAGACACAAGAACACTGATTCAAAAAGACACCTGCACCCCCATGTTTATTGCTGCTTTATTGACAATCAGAAGGACATGGAAGCAACCCAAATGCCCAAAAGTAGATGACTAGATTAAAAAGATGTGGTACATATACACAATGGAATATTACTCAGCCATCAAAAAGATAAACTCATGCCTTTTGCAGCAACATGGATGGAGCTGGAAGGGATCATGCTGAGTGAAATAATCCAGAAAGAAAAGGAAAAATACCAGATGGTTTCACTCATAGTAGGAGCATGAAGGGACCGGGGAGGGGGGGTGAATAATAATGAACAACTATATACCAAAGATATTTTATGGGAGTGGAGTGAGGAATGGGATCAAAAATGGAGGGGTGGCGCGGAAGTGCACTGGACTATGGTGATGGTACATAAGGGATTTGGTGATGGGAAGCCCATAGGGATTACAACTGAGATGGGAAAAGGCACAAAATGATGTAAAAATAAACTATTATATTTTTAAAATGTCTAGCTTGTGTTAATTGCCCCCAAATTACTCCTCATTGTGTTTGGAGTGAATAATAATTCTCCATAACAATAAACATTTCAAACATGCAGACCTTACCTGGAAAACTAGTATATGTGATTATGATTCCTTGATTACAGAATGTGAGTGGATGGAGCATTCTGAAGTAGTCGGCACTACATTTGTGGTCTTAAAGATGATGGTTGTCAGGGCTCACTTGCCAGTTACTTCAGTTAAAAAAGTGTTTTTATGGAGTTTGAAGGAAAATGGCCGAGAGCTGGAGACATACAGATCACTACAAGGACTCTTACCCTCCCTACTCAGTCACAAAGCGAAAATAATCCACCACATCATAAGGCAGGGGGAAGAAATAAAAAAGCCATAAAGGGATGAAGGCAAGTTTCTCTTTGGAAGGATTTCTCAACCAAAAAGATTCTAAGGGAAATCACTGCGGAAATTTATCAAACTGAGCTATGTCAGAGGCAAATTAGGTACATATTGTTCTTGTGTGGACTCAGCTCCAGTCTTGCAGTCTCGGCCTTGCCAGGCTTCCCAAACTGCAATGTCAGTAACTTGCTGGCTAGTGGACATGATAAGCAGCTCAAAGGTTATCTAACAGTAACACAGCCCTTTGCCACACTGCACAGTGTGCTGTAATAAACTGATTCACTGCCTCTGCATTGCTCTTGCTAAGGATAATAAAACTTAGCTATCTTTCTGGATAATTCTGATTTGATGTTCTGCTTATAACATGAATTCTTTTTCCTGAAAAATAAAGTTGAGTGTTAATGACTTCCACTGTTCCTGCAATGTCAGATGGTTCATGAAGAGGATTAAAAAGCCAGGACTAGAAAGTGAAAGACAATTACCAGATGGTTTCACTCAGTTGTAGAACATAAATGACCGAAGAAAACAAACTGGCAAACACAGCGACCATCACTCTCTGGCGCTGTGATAACTCTGGCGGTTACTGGAAGGGCAGGGGGTGAAGGGGACAGAGGCGAAGGGGCAGGGCGCTGTTACCGGAGCTCTGTTGGAGGGTCAGTAACGCACCTGCATATATGGAGGTGTGAACTTGTACCCCCCAAATTATAGTTATGTAAACAACTGCACAAAGATAAAATTTGAAAAAAAAACTTTAAAATTAAAAAAAAAAGTGACTAAAATACCTGAAACTAACTTCTAGGAGCCTTGGCATTAGATATCTGTCAAAAATCTAGAGAAGTGGGGCAAAAGAACGGACAAAGATACATCCACTGGCCCTCGCAGCTGCGGGGCCAGGGTTTGCTGAAGATAAAGGAGAAGCAGCCAAAAGCAGGAAGAGCATTTCTGTCTCCTTGCAAACAAGATGGGCCTGAGAACAGCCAGAAAGACAACAGAGCGCAAATAGGAGTTTAAAACAAGACAGAACCAAGCACCGGGGGCTGGCTCTGCCCAGGGTGGATAAAGCGTCCCAGGGGCGCTGCTGTACAGCAAGACTTCCTCACCAGGTGACTGCAGGCAGGGCCTATGACTATCTGTCCTATAACAGGCAAAGCAGCAGCAGAAGAGGAATACGAAAATAATAACTAATATCTGCATCCTGGCAGACCAGACATCATCTCATTTCATTCCCATTGAAATGTCATTCAGCCTTTATTATTATCCCTGTTTTTCAGATCAAGAAATTGAGACTCAAGTGTAGAGCAAT